CCAAGAGGTGCCTGCTGAAATCTACCCATATGTAGAGCCTCCTGCGGCCCAGCCTCTGTGTCTATGGAAACAGCTGTTCATCTCTGGACAAAACCATCATAAATTGCAGTCACCATTCTGCATGAATGGAAACACAAAGCTTCACTCGCAGGCAATAGCAGGAGTCACCTGTTAAGTCAGCTTGGCTAATATAAGCCTCTGCATACCACTGAGGTCAGACTATCCCACCCATACACTACCTAAAATATAAAGCCCAAAGTCACCTGTCCTGACCTCATCAAAAGCCATTCCTTTGTATACATATTTTCTCTGTCCCCTACTTCCATTTCTTTTGCTTTATTTCTCAATGTTAGCAGACAATTAAGCCCTTTTTGGAAGGTCTTCTTGAAGGTCCACCAAGTAGTGCCCTTCTCCTTCTGGTTTCCAAACACATTGAGAAATAAAGTAAAAGAACAGGATGGACGGCATATCCAAATGTCACCATGTCTACCGATAAAGGCTTAATTCAAGACCCAAATGGGCTTTTTTGTACTGAGTCCCACAGTGGAAGTCACAGCACAGCTAGGCCCTGACACGGAGTGTTGTCAATTGTGACATCTAATGGAGGTGAAGAGAAGGCAGTGGTACTAGCTCTACTTAGAAGTACAGTATCAGATTAGCCTCATCATATTGCACTGTTGCACAATTTGAGGAAACATCATTTTGCCCACTACCCTAGAATTTAGCAGGAGTTCAACAGGACCCCTTGTCTAGAATAAGAAATGTCAAAGCAATCGGCCCTTATTCTCCTTGTTAGGGTGTAACCACCCCCTTCTGTTAATTACAGAAGCTCCCTTTCATTTTTCCAGAAACACTGGTTAGGTCTCTACTCACTCAGCAGCCAGTCGGCTGAGCTGCTGTTGGGAAACATGGGCCAGGTTTTGCTTTCTGCCTGCCTAGATTTCCGGAGGCAACTGAGTGGCATTCGGCCTGGGAGATCTCATTTTTGTTGTTGCTGTGTTGTTTTGGTGGTGGTGGCGGTGGCTGCGGCGATGTGTGTGTGTGTGTATGTATGTAGGTATGGCAGTGGAGAGGGAAGACTTTAATGGGAAATACCCTCTTAAAAACTGTGAGATCAGAGCTACGGTAATGGAAATGGGCCTTTGGTTAGCAAATGTGAAATAAAATTACAGGCACTGGCTGAAAGTTTACGGAGGAAATTAGGAAAAAGATAAGACTATTGGAATAAAGCAATAATCTGAAGTAGAAGAGCAGATGGGGAAATACAAATATCCTACACTGAAAATTTGTAATTTGCTAAGAAACTGCGACCTAAACTTTTCTAAATAGAGAGAAAAGGAACTAAGAAAAAGCAGAGATTTATAAGTATAGTGTCATATTTATGAAAAAAAGTCTGCAAACAATAGGGAAACGAAGGCAGTGGTCATCTAACCTGAATGCTGAATTAGACTTTTTTTTTTTAATAGTGAATAGCCTGAGGGATTTTGAACAACTGTGTAATTTAATAGACAGTTTTTTGAAGTGCCCAAAAAATGGTAGACATTTTAAAGCGTATTGTTATTATTTCTATTTTCAGTGAATGAAGACTTTTCTTTCCAGGTGTAAGCCTTTATCTTAAGTAAAGTCACCATATTTGCAGAAGGCAAATTGCCATCCAAGTCTACCAAGAAAACACAAAAAGTAATTATTTAGGGGCCAACCCATCCGTAGTCTCTGAAAAGTTAAGCATGGTTTTACTATCATTCCTGCATTCTCATCGTAAAATCCCATTGATGTTTATCGTGTAATTCTAGTGTTCTGCAAACTACATATGTGTGTGTAAATATATGTATGTATATGAATTCCTACTGCAAATTAACATGCTAGATATTTACTCCTTTATTCTTCATATTCCATTTTCGAGGTCAAAAATAGCACACTTCAAACTTCATTAACTTCGCACTTTATTAAATGTTCTGTTGCTGCTCCAAATCCCCCATGACCCCAACCCTAATCCTTTCCATGCTCAGGAATGGCACAGATTCCAATATCAACACCAATGTTTATTTATAACTGAAAATGGATCACACCATGGAAACATGAAGGATAAAAAGAGGAAAAAAGGAAAGAGAACACCCCCCCCCCCCCCCCCCGCACCACCAAATAATTAAAATAAAACATCTAATCATGTCAAAGATGGGGAAACAAGTAACAATAAAAGTTTTTTCTTAGAAGGTAAGGAACGGAGGTCAAACTAAGTCCTCTGAGGGGAGTGAGGGAGCAGGATCCGCCCGTCGCTCCAGAGCTGACCCTGATGCATCTTCCAGAGGCAGCTCCTCCTCCGGGGCAGGAACCAGAGCGGGTCTGAGGGAGGGGTCTTCGGGCAGGCGCGGCCAGGCCTCAGGCAGGTCAGGAGCTGCTGCGCAGGCGCACCCGGGCTCCGGAGCCATGGCTAGAGCAGCGGCTGGAGGAGGCATGACCCCTGGAGGCGGACAACCTCCGGGTCCGGAGGTGCCGGGAGCGGCCTCCTGCTGTCCTCCTGCATCGGGCTCCTCGGCCTATGAGACAGGTGTTACAGCAGGACCCGGCTCTGCCTCCTGGGCTCGTGCTGGAGTCGCGAGAGGGGAAAAGATCACCCACGTGCCCGCATTTCCACGGGCCCCCCACAGACACGATGCAGCCAGCGCCTTCCAGAGCAGCGGCAGCCCAGGACCCAACCGGGATGACCTCCCCCGCAGCAGCTCAGCAGATGGGGGATCTGAGGCCAGGCTTGGCTTCTGGTCAACCTCTGTGGGTGCTCCCTGTGTGTCTGGCTCCGGCCCACCCCCATAAGCTAGACCCCTGTGTCCCTTTTCACAGCGGAACCCAGAGGCAACACAGGGAGGCCCAAGGTGGTTTTATTTGGGCCAGGCCACCACTCAGATCACACCTGAGGATCCCTAAGTCACCTGTGTGTGTGTGTGTGTGTGTGTGTGTGTGTGTGTGTGTGTGTCAGGGGGCGCACATGGGAAGGCCAGCCCCAGGCAGGAGCAGGTGAGAAGCCTGGTGGGCCGCACATGCTCACACACCAGGTCAAGCCTGGCTGGGAGGATGTGGAGTATGGATGGGGTCACTGCACGAGGTTTATCTCAAGCCCTGGAGGTGAATCCAATTTTCCTGGAGGTCTGTGAAAACACAGGGCTGGGCTTGATCCTGAAGCAGAAAGTCCAGTGGGCAGAAGCAGCAGCAACTAGAGCGAGGCTTGTGGACTCCGAACTGGCTACCGGTCACTGTCATTGCAGAGTTCAACCCAGGTCATGGAGAAGCAACAGGTGGTTGGTGGAGACCCAGGTCCCATCTCTCCCAGTGAGGGAGAGGAGCTTCACAATGCTGAGACCAAGAGGAACCCTGAAATCCCTGTCGCCACCCCAGAATCTGGGGAACCAGGGCCCTTTCATGGACAGAAATGAACATCTCTCCTGAAGGTGTGCAAGCTCCACAGAAAACTGATTTCCAAAACCAACACGGAGTGTATCCCCACGTGAAACAGAAAGGGCAAGATAAACTAGAAGCAAAAAGATGGAGTCCAAGGGTGAGAAGGTGGGGGTGGCAGGGAAGGGCAAGGAAGCTTGTGGTGATGAGTCATGTCAAACACACAGAGAGCACCCACAATGGCTGGTCAGGAGCAAAATTGACCTCACATCACCCATGTGCTGGACTGTCCGCGGGGAGGATGTGCTGGGGTGGGTTGGGCTGAGGCTTACCTGGAAGGCTTGGGCTGTGTCTGTCGAGGGGAGGCACGTGGGAATGCAGGCATGTGGGTGATCTTTTCTCCTCTCACAACTTCAAACCAAAACCAGGAGGATGAAGGGGTCTGCGAACAGCCTGGCCCTGTCTCCAACAGGACTTCAAATTGCATCAAGTGACTTAGTTTAAAATCCTTCAATGGCCTCTCAATGCATGTAAAATGTAGTGTAGACCCCTCTGCTGGCCCCCAAGACCCCTTCTCCCTCTCAGACTTCACTTCTGCAGCTTTCTCCTGAGTTCACGAAATTACCTACTCCAATCTTTTCTTTTTTCAGTTTCTCACATTGAACAAACTCTACCTTATCTTTGAACATGCTCTTCCATCACTCCACCTTTCCCACTGTTCATGTTTGTTATCATTTTATTTTTGCTTTTTCATGTTTGTTTTGTTTTGTTTTGTTTTTTGCTTTTTGCTTTTTCTTAAGCTCTGTGAGGACCAGGAGTCACAGACCTGTGTTTCTGACACACTTTTATACCTCCAGCTGCTTCTGCACTATTCTTGGCACATGATTTCCTAAATACCTGTTGAACAAAGAAACTGTTGAATCAGTATAATTCAAAGCACACTTAGAAATGTTAGTGGGAAACAAGCAGGACATCGATTTCATTGAGACCAGAAGGAAGGAGGAAAGGAGCAGTACAGGTCCACAAGGGTTGTAGCTTTGAGCTAGAAAGATACTTGAAAGCTTTGATTTTTCTCTCTAAATTAGGACAAATCCCCTTACTAGAATTAATGAGTAGGTTAATGGGGTGTGAGGTTTGAAGAAAGACACTGAAATTTGAATCACTACTGCAAGGGATGGAAAAATGACTGAAGAAGATCTAGAAGAAATGGTGTATGGTTCAGGAGTGTTGGAAACCATGACCTTGTAAATGACCTCAATCAGTAGAGTTGAGAGGTTTTCTGCAGCTCTGCTCAGCAGTGCAGGTTTTGGGGGGAAATGTTTGTTTCACTGAATCAATATCTAAAGTTTGAGTAGTAGGTGTTAGGAAAGCTTAAAGGGGTTAACAATTTTTGAGAACAGCGGTGGCAATGGTTGAGCTGATTAATGGATGTTTTGCACTGAGTAGATAAAGAAGTGAAGCCAAAGGCTCCTAGCTTGTGAGAAAATGGGATGGTGACATGAGTGAGCTCCACGAGGCTGAGAAGGGCAAAGGGGCAGGGAGAGATGGGACAGAGAGATCTCCTTAAAACAAGACAGGATTTCTTCCAAGATCTTTTCGCTTTTCTTTATAAAAATATGGAACACTTCACAAATTTGGGTGCCATCTTTGTACAGGGGCCACGCTAAGCTTCTCTGCGTTGTCCCAGTTTTAGTCTATGGGCTGCTAAAGTGAGCGCTGAAGATCTTTTTATACCTGACATTTTAACTTCTTTATGACTATGGCATCTTGAGGGATGGATAAGCCAAGAATATTTTATGGAATGTGTGATGATGAAGTGATTCATGGGGTAGTGGCAAAACAAGGCCACCTCAGGTGCTATTAACAATTCATGCATCTCAACAATTTCTGGAGGCAATTTGACAAGTGACTCAGGATAAATGCAGATCACCCGCAAGTTATACTTAGAATATTTTCCCTCTGGCTGGGATGAGTGAGCATTCCTCCAAAAATGTATTTAATGAGGCACTGCACTAATCAGCCATTCCCAGGCCCTGTAATGTCTCCCTGAGTATTGAAGTTAATTCCCTAATAAATGAGTTTTCTAATAAATCTGTCCCTTACCTCTACACAGAGCATATTAAGAAGAATCACATACATTTAGTTGTTTACCTCAATTAACAAATATTATTGATGACACAAAGCTACTTCTGGTATGACTTAGCAATAACATAGCAAAAGGACAAATCAGAACATAATTTTCAGTAAAATCATAGCAGGCACTGTAAAAATTAGACATCTGTATCAAGAATAACAAAAATACATGTGCATAATACTTTACAAATCTTGTCATATATACTTAGCTTATGTGATCTTTTCAACAAACTCGTGAGGTGTTATTATCGCCTACCTATCTTACAGATGAGATAACTGTTCTTTAAAGATTTCATTGAGTTATCTAAGGTCACTGGTGAGCAGTTTTCCACCAAATATAGTAGTACAGTTTGGAGGTAGTATGTTAGGTGGACAGGTTAACATTACACAACAGGATGGTGCCTTGGGAAGGATCTCATCCAGTCTTAGTTCAGTCAGAACAGGAGCGTGCAGGTTGACTGCAATAGGAGAATGCATTTCTCTTATGGATCCGCTAGGTGGCAGTAAATGCCACCACTATAGACTAGTGTTTCTCACTACAGACACTTGGGTTTAAGTGGTTAAAGCAAGAAGGAGGGAAGCTAAGCGATGACATTCTCACACAGTTAGAAAAGGGTGCGTATGTGTGCACGTGCACACGCACGTGCGTGCATGCGTGTGTTCACGTCAGAGGAACTGAGAAAAGAATACAACTGTTACCGCACTCGCGCTGTGTCCAAGACCACCAGTAGGTAGGACCAGTGTGAAAGAAAGACCTCCATACTTGGCACTTCTGTATATACTGTGTTCTCCAAGCCCATACCTGCAATTCAGTTACGTATTATATGATGTCCAAGACTATCATTGTCATTGAATATAAAAGTGGGTGCTCTTTCAAGAGAAAGCTTGAATTTGGTGCATTCATGCTTATGGCTGTCTTTCTCCTCAAATATATCGTATCTATGAACTGGCAGAGAAGAGCAATTTGCAGTGTCATGTAGGTAAAGGAACTCAATAGTTGAAGGAATTCAAGAAACTTTTATGCTTTTCTGGTTTGGTAGTAATCAACATTGCTAGAGGTTAGCTGCAAACTTTGGTATTGGATAAAGAATGAAAGTTCTTTATTAGAACATTCCATATCAGAAAATACATGTGGCTGGAAATGAAGAGTTGGAATCCAACTTTCCCACCAAATGGTGCTTAGATGTCACCCTAAATCTTCTGAAAGTTAGCAAAAAAAAAAAAAAAAAAATTCCATTTGTCCATCTTTACCTACTCTAGGGATACCCTCACCCTATTTATAAAACTGACGTTCCCGTCAATCTGAAGAGTGTTCTGCTTGAGAAGAGTTCTTCTCTGCTGGAGGCAGCTGCTTTTCTTCTGGCACTGGGGGTAAGTCAGGTGTTTTCTGCCCACACCTGGCGACGGTGAAGCGACTCATGTGAAGAGCTTCCTCATACCCAGGGAGGGTGTCCCCGGAGGAGGGCAGCTGGCCCAGGGAGCTGTGGGAGTGGGCCACTGCCAGGACCCTGCGGGACGCAGGACCGAACACTGACTGCAGGGCTGGTGAGGGAAGAAGGAATAGAGCTGCAGTACACGTGGCATCCTCAGAAATTAGACTTACAACACACTTAATTTCCCTTTATTTTTAACAAGTGTCTAAACTCACTGTCAGCTCTTTGCCACAAATGTTATGAAAAATCCTGTGAGGCTTGCTTAGAAACCAACTTCGGTTTCTACGGGAAGATTTTGTCTGCTCTAGTATCCTTAAATAATCTAAATTGTATTCCCATCTCTCACCCTTGTTAGATTTAGATCCTTTTAAGCCAGTCTACTAATACTGCACACTCCTTAGAAATATTTGTTTCTTCCTTATCTTTTCTCAAAATGATTGTGAGAGCTGGGAGGCATGAAAAGTTGTTCTCTTTGCAAAATAAATATCACAGTATTTTGCCACTTGCTGTTCTTCCTGGTATTTATTCTTCAATTTTTGTAAAAGATATAATATAAAGAAGAGACTAGGAGAAAAATAAAATGTCTTACAATCATCAAAAAGATGTTGGGGCTCAGACTTAGTATATCAAGACTTGGAGAATAAACAAGTGAAAGTACACATGACAACTTTCTCTAGATATATAAAAATTATAGATAGAAAATGTAGGACTTTACAAAATCCAAGATATTTTTAAAAAAGGGATATGCTCAGAGCTTCAAATAAGTATGGGCTGGGTAATTCTTCTTACAAAACATTTTCGATGTTGTCTCCAGCATTTCGCCTCTCCCTCCCCTCTATCATCAGTCAAGACCGGTATTTGTGCACACAGTAGGCATGAGGGCTCAGGTCACTGCATCACCAGGTTGCTGGTGATTAAGTCCACTCTGAGTTCCTCAGTCTTTAATATCCGGTTAGTGTTTTTATAACACTGTGCCATCCTAATTGGCTGTTTAAACCTGGGTTCTCTTCCCACGTATAATGTCAATGTACTCACAAGTGATCGTGCTCTGGAGAGTGCTATCATGATCAAAAGCGATGACCGTCACTTCGTAGGGTGGCCGGTCCTCATGCTCCCCATTTTGCTGGCGACTCAGGCAGCAGCGGAAGCACACAGAAGTCAGGCCGCACAGGAGAAGCAGCGCCCCGATGACCACCAGCAACCTGCAGGGAGCCCACGGGGTGGTGAGGGCTCTGGGACCTGCTTTGTTTCCCAGCTTTGGCACAATCAGCCTCTGTGTCTGCATTTGGATTCTTGTGTGAATAGTTTACAGAGGAATTATAAGGTTTTTCATTCCAAGGTTTTCACTTCACATATAAACGTCCTTATTTCGTCAGCAAAACTAAGTCAATTCTTTGAACAATTAGCAAGAGATTAGATATGGTTTGGGGGGCTGCTTTCTACTTTACTGAAGTCATCACTATAGGATACTACTAGAACCGATTGGAGAATGTACACAATAAGCCGTTGATGTTGGTCGAGGAGACGACATTGAAATAGGAAGTCCTGGCGTATTGTCACATAGGGTGGGGATGAGGAAAAGAAACTTTACTCCATATGATGCCACTAAGTAGGCTGGCTGTCTCACACAAATTTTTTTTTCCTGCTGTCAAATATTTTTTTAAAAAACCAAAACTAAAAACAAATATACCTCTGAGAAAAGTAAAGTCCCTTTTAAATGTCTTTGTGGGATTTATAGCTAAAACTTACCATATATACCAGAGATGTACCCAGTCTGTGGTCAGGCAACTATGAAGAAAGAACAAAGTTTTTTGCAATAAAAATATAGTCATTGCCTGTTATGATACCTTGTTGTAACAAAAGCATCACAGGTTATATTAACTTCAATGTAACTTGCTGAATCTATTGTGTAATGGGATGCTTTAAATAGTTTTACACTATAGATGGCATTGTGTAAATCGTTGTGTAAATTATTTTAAGACAGACTAAAATAGCGATCATGAAATAGTATTAACAGAAAATGTAACCATGACCACTGTAAACAGTTATGATGACAGTTAACAAGAAAGAACTTCTAATGCAAGTTTACAAAGAGTGAGTTTGAAGGTGGATATGAAAGTTAATGTTTGTGTATGTTTGAGGTCAGGAAATTGAAACTTAAGAGTAATTTCAGTTATAAGCATGAAGGCAATACAATGACTTTTGTAATCTATGTTTTGCAAGTTGTTGAAAAAAGGGCCACCAAAAACCACACAAACTCCCACCATAAAAAAGGGTCTTAAATTTTCACATTAATAATCAAAACTGATTTACATAATGGCTGAGGCAAAATAAAACAGGCAGAAAATGTAGAAACCAACTGCACCATGACAAAAGCTAATTAAATATTCTGAATTAACTAGCACAATTATAAATTTTCTCTATACAGATAAAAAATATGGATTACATGAGAGAAGGAGTATAGGATAAACTCAGGAGTGGGGAGGAGAGGGGAGAAAAATATTTCTTTTTAAAGATAAGTAAATTTAATAATATTTTCTGATATAGTGATCTATTGAAATCTATTGAAATGCACTCTATAGCTTCTCTTTGGTCACACAGGTGTGGAGCATACAGTTGGGTTTTTCATTGAATTATGTCTCCTCTGGATTTTCTCACATTCCCCATTTGTTGAAAGCCCCCTTTAGTTCTACAACATTACAATTCTGATTCTATTAAAAATGACTTCCTATGGTGATGTCTAAAATCTCAAAGATGATATGAAAGAAAGCACAGCCATCACTACTTCCCTTGGATGTAACATAGTTGGCTGGTGGGAAACCCTTCCCACGGCTAAATACGCATTTTCCTTCAGCCTGAGTAAGTCTTCTATCTAAACTGTCTCTGATTTTTTTTTTTTTTTTTTTTTTTTTTTACTGGTTTACCTCCAAGTGAATGAATCTTTTCCCTTTTTTATCTTTATGTCTCCATAAATCTTAACTGTGACAGGCTTACATTAAGGACTATTTTAAAGTAATAGCTAAGTAAATTCTGCAATAAATATTAACATGCCCTAAAAAATAAAAGAAAGTTCTTTAGATTTGAAGCTGTGATGTACCTTTGGAAATCACCCAAATGTATCTGCCTGTGACTAAGATACTGAATCCAATTTGTCTTGATGAGTCACTGAAAAACAAGGGTAAGAAAGTCTACTGCAAATCTCTATGACTGCATAAATTGAGATTAAGTCTTCTGCTTTGATAGGAAGATTGGCTTTGAAAAAATTGCTATCAGCAGTGTTATTCTGAGTATTTAGGATGACTCAAATGCATGCTTTTATTTCGGGATAACCAGTCTGTGAGATAAGTGGATTGATGCCCATTTAAGTAGACAAAAGGGAAGTTGCAGATATCTGATGGCATCTTGACCTTGTTTCGTATATTGATGTTTATGTCTGTCTCTCCTTCCTCCCAGTTTGGACTCTCTGATACTTACTGTTCAGGACTGACACAGCTCTCTTCACATCTTGCCCAAGGAAGCTGTAGGAAGGGAAATCATCTCAGACAAGGAAATGGTCTCAGACAGGGAAATGGTCTGGTCTTCCCCACCCAGCAGCCTGTCAGTTCCTCATGCCTATGCTATGTTAGATCAATTGGTGAGGGCAGTGTTAATACAAGGACAAGGTCATAAGGTCAGACACAGTTAGGACTATTTGTTTTCATCTCCCTCCATGCCTATGCATTATTACATTTGAGGAGGGAGAGCCTGGAAGAGCATTTCTAATCTGTTTCTTCTCTCTCTCTCTCTCTCTTTGATGGTGCTGATGGTTGAGCATCACTGCCTTTGTGAATGAGAGGCAGCATTTACTATCAATTTGTTTGTCCCAGAAATTTCCTGATCTGTCCATTCATCTTAGGGTGTTGTTATTGTCTTCCTAATTCTTTCCCAGTGCAAACTGAATTCTAACCCACTGCTCCTTTTCATTTCCTCAGTACATCAATCACTATATAAGAGAAGACGGAAGGGGGAAAACTTATTTATTGGATAGCTACTCTCTTCCAATAACTTGAAAGACTTGATATTTCAGGAAATCAACAACAAAGACCACGAAGGTCCTCTAAGAGAGAGAGATTTATTCTTATTGGATTTTATGGGTGGTTGGATACACTCATACTCTTGACAATCAGAAAAGGACTTTGCAAAAAGACCAAGGGCTGTCCTCTGCTGATAACATTTGAGAAATTGTGGTTTTGTTTAAATTTAAAATAGTTAGCCACTAGGATGAAAAAGTGTATGTTTCTTCAACCCAGCCTTGGTACTTTGTTTCATTTTCTTGACTAAAGGCTAGAAACTGCTAAATTACTTAGAAGATAAAATACTTATTTCAGATCTGTAAAGAGAAAAGAAGGGAAGGGAAGGTCAAGGGAGAGAAAAGGGAGCAACAAGAGAATACAAGGGAAAAAAAAGAAATGGATTTTCAGAAATTTGTTTAACTGGTATACAGGAAGTGAAACAGACAGCCCCCTCCTTCCTAGGAACTTGTTCAGGAACCTGATAGTAGGCAGTTTCTTTATTTGCTGTCCTTAATAGATTTCATATCTCTGTAAACTTTCCCTTAATAATTGTCCAGAGTCCCTCAGGCCAGTAGCCCCTCTCCCAGCTAATGAATTAGTTACTCAGGGGCTTCCAAATTTTAGTGGGGAGAAATAAAAGATCTCAATTATTTTAACAGACTTTTCCCGCTCAACTTATTTCTGACCTGGAGGCCCCGATACATTTCAAGAATAATGTTAGGGCTGATATGGGAAACTCTGTTTAGGAGAATTACTTAGCTAGTTGTGATAATTTACTTGGAAATTAAGCGATGGGTGACGTGATGCTAAAAGAGAGAAATATGCACAATTCAGTGGCACTTCCGAATTGCCGAAGCTATCTTACTTGTACCTACAGTTGCCCTAATTTCTGTCTCCTGTTTCATTATGTTGTCATTCATCACACCAGCCCTATATCACCCTATAACACTAAGGAAACATTCTAGTTATTTGTTTCCCACTACCCCCTTTGTTTTATGTATGTCTTTTCCCTTTATTCCTTTTCCTTCAGATTCTTCTGAGAGTTGGTTTATCTGAGAAACAAAAACAAAAGCTTTATTCCTGTGTTTTCACAACATACCTGGATGAAATACACCAGGGTGGAACCCGAGACAGCGTGGACTTTCACTCCCATTGGGCTGAGCTCCTGCTTCTTCAGGATCGTGCACCGGCGTCTGTTACCTCCTCTCCATGCCCTGTGCCTTGTCTGACTTCTGGATCTAGAGAACTTAGGAGAGGAACTTTTCTTAGCAATAAATCATTCTTTCCTTCTCTCCCCCCCTGCCCCCCGCCCACTCTCTCTCCTTATTCCCCTAGGCTTTTATTTTTCTGTGGTCCTTCCCTTCCCTTTCATCCTGGCTCCTTTTTCTGTTTCTATTTCTGATTTCAGGGTCTCCGCATTTGTTTCCCTTTGTCTTTTCTTTCTTTTTACTATTAATCCTTTCTACATGTCTTTCACTTTCCCCCACTGCCCCCAAAAGGAAGACACATCAGTCTTCTGAATTAAGTATTTTTCTAGGCAGTGATGAAAAACTTGACTTAGAGGAGGATCCAAAGCAGACTGCTCTTCTCCATCACAAAAGGGGAGACACTCTCGGTTCTTCACCACAGAACAGCAGGGTGACTGTTGAAGGTTGAAACTCACCCTGCCAAACTCCATTTGCTGGTCCCCCATGTGATTAGCCCTCCTCTCTTACTCTGAAATCCTCCCCTTCACTGTGTTGATAATCAGCTCTCCTGGTTCTGGGTCATTTATTTCTAATCATTGGAGTAGGACCGAAGAGTTTGCCACATGAACTGGAAATCCATCCCATCTTTGGAGAAAGCAGATTTAGAGATTAGAATTTCTGGGTCCTGTCCACGAAATCCCCCTCCACTGTGACTCAGATTCCCATCAAAGCAAATAAGTCAGACGGACACATTAAACAAAACAAAACAAAGCAAAAAACTGGGTTCAAAAACACACCTCTCTCTCAAATAAAATCTAAGTTAAGAGTAAAATTAAACACATATGGAAAAGGCATAGAATCATAGAATGTTTCTGAAGAAAAATATCAACAGGGACAAATGAATGCTGTTTAAATTATTTATACATAAATTGGTAATCTTTTACCTCATGAAAAGTATTGAAAATTTTTAATACAAAGTACTTCAGAAGATACTTAGACATTAGTTTACACAGATATATTTATCTCTTAAGAACTGAATAAAACAACCGCTTTTCAGATCCTTTTGTTAAAGGAAACTGGGACTGATTCTAACTAAGCGCCCTCGCACAGCATGACAATGTGTGAAGATGGAGAATATAAACTTAGTGTTATTCTTAGCTAAGGAAATCAACCAGAAAATCCCACTATGACATTGATGATTAGAAACCAGTCAGTTCCAAAACTAATGAGCAGCACCGTTTTTTTTATTAAAGAAAAAAAAAGGTAAGGAAGTTGTTAGGGGAACAGAATTTTCCAAATTTAAGCAGAAAGCTTAGCAAGATAGGAGGTATTTCATAGGAAAAGGAGAACATAAATCTAATCCAGGCCCTCCACCCTCGAGTTATTATGTTGTTTCTCCAGTCCTTAATATTCTCATTCATAAAACAAGAGTAGAATGTACACTTGACCTGCCCTAGGTCTTATTTTATGGAGAAAATACAATCAGAGACATGAAGGTATTTTGATAATATTTCTTGCCATGTATACATGGGTGGCATCATTCACCCTTCCTTCCTCTTTCTCTTGTCAGAATGATAGTATCGTGTCACGGCTAAGAATCCAGCTTGGTTTTCTAGGGTTAAATACTTGCTGTGTCACTTACTAGCTGCATTATATTGAGCAAGTTATTACATCTCTCTGTTGGTTAAGTTTCATTATATATAAAATGGGGTGATAATAATAATGATGATGTTTCTTCATAGATTGATAGAGATTAAATAAGTTAATGTGTGTAAAGTGCATATAATTGTCCTGATAAGCATTTTATAAATGTTAACTATGATGATCTTGATTGCCAATCAGTTTTACCAATGACCCTCACCTTCATGGATAACTGATATTCCCTATGCTTCTTATGGTTTCCATGACCATGTTTTACCTTTACTGACATTTCAGTTCATTGGGTAGTTTCCCTTGCTATCCTGGCCATCTATGCTCATAATCATGCCTGCCTTCCCCTGCACAAACAGGTTTGCCAATTAACATGACCGTTTCCCCCTCCCAGAGCACTTTCCTGCCATGTGATTACCATCTACTTTTTGCCCTACAGCATCTTTACAGGTTTGAACAAAATCAGATTCTGTTGATGACCTGGTAGCTACTTTTCTTAGAATTACTAGTGCCACTTTTTTTTTCCTCCCCTTCACTGGATTACTTCCTGGAAAAATAAGCTCTTTGATTCTCCTAATGGAAGTGACAATTTTAGCTCTGAGTTCAGCTCCATGCAAGAAGGAAGACTGAAGAAGGTACACAATGGAAGGGCAAGTAGCTGAGGGAAAGGGAACTGATTTCATTACAATCCAACACAATCTTGTAGTCCCATTAAGCTTGTGAATCATTAGCTTATACACAGGTCGTTAAGGACTTGGAGTGGAACCAATGGAGGGCACATGTACCCCTGCCTTTTCATCTATGCCTCAGGGAATTGTTATACAATAGCTGTAACAAGCGAGGCTAAAGAATTACTTAGTTCTGGTTCCTTTGAATATTCTCCTTTTGACCTTGCCAAAGTCAAATGACCAGATTCCCTTCCTCTCTGCGCCTCGGTGAAATAGAGGCCAGGACTGATACTACTCTGAAGCATCAAGCATGAGTGATAAAGAGCTGAGCAGTGAGCAACAACCAGGATTTCAAAAATGAATAGGACAGCCGAAGAGCCCACTTCCATTCGGCAACCCCTCCACTAAGAAGTGTCTTTATCAGATAAACCAGTTCTTCAGCCTGAATATTGAGTAGCAACTTCAGAGGCCTTGAAAGTCAATGACAAGATTAAATTTAAGGACTTTTAACAAAATAGGAGGATGAAGTTTGTGACAGGATTATTAGTTTTATGTGCCTTGTAATATGAATAGCAATTACAAAACAGCATGTATTATCTCACATTGTCTGTGAGTGAGAAGTAGGGGCGCAGCTTAGATGGGTTCTCTGCTTAAGGTCTCACATGGCTGCCGTCAAGGTATTTGTTGGACTGTGTTCTCATATGAAGGCACAACTGAAGAGGAATATGCTTCCAAGCTTTCCCTAGCAAATTCATTTCTTTGTGGTAGTGGTATCATGTAAGTTTGCTTCTTTAAATCCAGGCAGAGAAAGAGAAGAGGGAGAGAAACTCTACCTTATATAATCACATATACATGATCCCATACATTCCATCACCTTCGTTACACTCCCAGGCACAAATTCCACCCATATTCCAAGTGAGGAGATTAACAAGGGCATGACCACGAGGAGGCAGGGATAATGAGGACCGCTTAAAGTCTGCCAAGTCTGCCCAGCTATCTGCCACACGAGGGTTATGGAATTATACCCCTGGATCTTTAAAAACAGGTGCAATCCAGTATGCCCATCAATGAATGAATGGATAAACAAAGCGTGGTCTATATATATAATGGAATATTATTTAGTCTTCAAAAAGAAGAAAATTTTGACATATGCTACAATGTGAATGAAACCTGAAGACACTATGCTGAGTGAAATAAGTTATATGCAACAGGATAAATGTCATATGCTTTCACTTATGTAACGTACCTACGATAGCAAAGTCATGGAGAAAGAAAAGAGAATGGTACTTTCCAGGAGCTGGGAGGAAGAAGGAGAGGGGAGTTTTGTTAGTCAAGGTTCTCCAGAGAAACAGAACCAATAGGATGTGTATGCAAAGAAAGAGATAGATTATAAGGACTTGATTCATGCAACTATAGAAACTCGCAAATATGAGACCCAGGATATAGTTCCAATCCAAAGGCCGTCTGCTGGAGAAATTTACTTATTTGGAGAAGAGTTAGCTTTTTGTTCTGTTTAGAGTTTCAACTGATTGGATGAGGCCTAGTCACATTACAGAGGGAGATACACTTTACCCTCATCACTAAAATATTAATCTCACCCCAAAATATACCCGAAGAAACACTCAGAATAATGTTTGACCAAATATCTGGGCACCCTGGGGCCCAGACAAGTGCACACACAAAAATAACCATCGTAGGAGTTATTGTTTAATGAGTACAGAGTGTCAGTTAGAGAAGATGAAAACATTCTGGGGAGGAAGCGTGGTGATGGTTGCCCAATCATATGGATGAACTTAATGTCACTGGACTGCATACTTAAAAACAGCTCAAACGGTAAACGTCTTGTCAAGTAAGTTTTACCACAAACAAAGAGAGGAACCACTTGTTTCTATCAGGCTTGAGTAAGGAAAGGCATAAAAGGCTGTTCTGAGGAGCTGGATCACCCAGAAGATGGTGACTGTCAAACTCTCCATGTTGTGGTTCCTCAATATGCGCTTCTAGTTTGACGGAAGTCAGAAGAAAATTGAGAGTGACGCTGGCTGGGTGTTCTCTACTTCACAGTGCACTTTTACAGCCGGCCAGGCAGTGCATCGTCTCTGCTTGTGGGGTCTGAAAAGTCTCTTTCTGAGTTATTTCAAGAGGTGTTTATACTGGACTTATATTATCTCAGCCGTCACGTATGGGTTTTTTGTTTGTTTGTTTGTTTGTTTGTTTCTTTTTTTTTTAATTAACTGGCATAATAGAAAAAACTGCGAGCCGAGTTCTTGTCTGGCATTGAACAGAAAAGAGATATTGAACAAACCACCTAAACATTCTAAGCTTTTGTTTCACTTCCTCAAAATAAAAGAACTAAAATGTATTTCTGTTAAATTTCTTTGTATTTTAAAAAATCCAGTTTATGCTATCTATGTGTTTATAGTTAAGAAGCTAACATATTAACTCTCTACTCTTTGCAGAATATTACACAATTTTTATGGTGTGCCAGAGTGGTAAGGAAGAATGAATTTTCTTAATATAAAGGGGTTTATCTTTACTTTTAAAGGACTTGTAATTTAGCTGGTGAGGTGAAATGACATTAATGGAATTGCAAATCAATACATGCACAGCTAGATATATAAAAAGAGAGGAGAAAAGAAATTGGTGATGGTAATTCTATGTGTAGAAGTTAAGTAGAGAGGGATTTTTAAAACTAAGAATAGAACTGCCTTCTGACCCAGCAATTCCACTGCTGGGATTATACCCTAGGAATCATGAAACACCAATTCAAAAGAACCTATGCACCCCAATGTTCATAGCAGCACAATTTACAGTAGTCAAGTGTTGGAAGCAACCTAAGTGCCCACCAATAAATGAGTGGATTGAAAAACTGTGGTATATTTACACAATGGAATACTATGCAGCAGAAGTAAAGAAGGAGCTCCTACCCTTTGTGAGAGCATGGATGGATCTAGAGAGCATTATGCTACGTGACATAAGCCAACTAGTAAAAGACAAATAACATATGATCTCACCTATGAGTGGAACCTAATAACAAAATAAACAAGTAAGCAAAATATAACCAGAGACATTGAAATAAAGAACAAACTGACAGTAATCACAGGAGAGGGGGGAGATGGATAATGGGGGAAAGAATGGGAAGGGTCATCAAGGAACATGTAAAAGAACCCATGGACAAAGCCAAAAGGGGGGTAGGATGGAGGGTGGGAAGTTGGCATGGGTGGGGCAAGGGGGGAGTGGTGGCGGGAAAATGGAGAAATTTTAGAGAGAGGGGAAAAATTAAATAGTCCACTTACAAAAACAGAAAAATTAAGAAACAAATTGTATTTGAAGGGAGTATAGGATTTATAAAACTCATCCTCAGGTCCTGTCCTTCCCACGAATGTTGACCCATCCAGAAGTGGATGCTTATGCTCTTTTGGATCTTGCTGTTGAAGTGTGGAAGTGAATATCAGAAGTCAGAGAGATCTCCTCACTTATATGTGGAATCTGATGAGCACAATAAACAAAGAAATAAGAAAGTAATAGAAGCTTAGATACATAGAACAGACTGACAGCTGCCAGAAAGGAGAGGGTGGGAAGAAGGGATGAAAAATGGTAAAGGGACTAACCAAAGAACATTTATGCATAACCCATGGACATGGACAACAGTGTGGGGTTTGGCTGGGGGTGGGGAGAAGGTGAGGCTGGGTCAGTCTGGGTAAGGGAGGGTAAGGTGAGCAAAGTGGGAACAACAGCTTAACAATATACAAAAAGACATGAACACCATTAGAAAAACATACTAAGGACATAACCACACGATCACAAAAGAAAAAATACAAATGGTTAACAGACAATAAATATTCTGTCTCTCTAGTAGAAAAATACATAGAAATTTTGTCAAATATTAAAAGTACTAACACTCAGTGTTTAAAATAAACATTTCATATGTATTTCTAAAAAAAATTAAAAATTAAAAAAATGATATTTACTTTCAACCTAAAAAAGAAAGTGAGAGATCTAGCTCAAGCTTAGGTCTCCTTTCAAGAATACAATCCTTTCTGGTGCTATGTATATCTGGGTGCTTTAAATATAGTTACATGTATCCTTTCAAGACACTTCTTAACAGGAAAATCCATAAAGTGTACTAGTGAGACAGGGTACCAAGCCAGGGCAAGTGAGGTAGGGAAATTGAGACAGTTATGTGGCCAGCAGTTTACAGCCATCTAGTAAACCACAAGATCCTATCTTCCCTAACCAAGGACACTTAGGAGTAAATGGTTTACACCTCTCCCCAACCAGAGGATAAATAGCTTAAACCACCCTACTCAGAAAGATAGATAACAGAAATCCAATTAATGCAATTTGTGCCAACCATACCCAAGGACAGATGAAGCCTGGGAATAAATCTGTCTTTGGCACATCAGCATAAAGCTGACAAATATTCTATAGAGATCCTCCCCGAGAATTCCTGCCTTTGGCCTTTGGAAAACAGATAAAAACCTTAAGACAAATGACCCAGCAGGAGCTCCCCTCCCCCACTCTGGAGCACACCACACTTTTCCCTTCTCCTTTTCCTTCCCCCAGGCACAGTACCTTTACCTTTCTCTCTCCTAAGGGCCCTCTTACCTCTGTAATTTGTTTCTTGAGCTGACGCAGCCCAGCTGGCTCACTTCTACTACCTCTGTAATTTTCTAAATAAACTTTCACTTATAATTTGAGTCCCTTAGCTCTGATTCTTTCTTTGTCAAACTCAGGAACTGAGGTCCCATCGCTGGTAACATCTGGTGCCGTTTTGCCACTAGAGCTAGGATGCGATGTGCTCACCAGAAATACGTGTCATGTCCATTTTATCAACAGGTGTGTTTGTATGTCTCACTTTAATCCATTAGAATATTGATGGAGTATGAAATAACTGAGTCACTGTGGGGAATGATAAGCTGTGCTCATCATTGTGGTACCATTTCAGTATTTATTAATTCCTTATAGAAAACAGTCTCCTGAGATTCTATTTATGTGAAAATCACCACGGTGAATGCAGAGATGGATCCAACACTGCTTCCTGGCTCTCCTAGTCAAGGGGAGTGTGCTAGGGCTTGCGTGACAAAGGTAAATAACACTGGTATGTTACAAGCTAATTTGACTGAAATATATTTACTTCATTCTGAGCGTGTGTGTGTGTGTGTAGAACTGCATCCTAGAGTAGAACTTTAAATGGCAGACACGCTGTTCCTAATTTGGTCTCACATACTCTACACAAAAAAAGAGAATACAATAGAGAGATTGTCTGCTACAGTGAAAAACAAGCAAATACGGATATTGGAATCAAACTGGTATAAATGCACACTTTATTACAAATTTAGTGTATCTTACCCACTTGAATTTCAGCTTCCTTATCTGAAGAGTGGGTACAGATTCTTCTTCTCTAATGCTCAAGGAAAGTACAGTTTTTCCTTTCATAAATCACTTAGTGAAACATCCTGAAATACTCTCAGAATCACCACTTTCCCTGCCTGCAATAGAAATAACCCAAGAATTTGCGTCAGCAAACATGAAGCAAAGCCTCTCCTTCCTCCTAGCAATGATTGAGTCACTCTATTAGATAGCAGTAACTATTTAAACACCACAGCAAGAGCTCACACATTTTTACTGCGTAGAGATCCTTGACTGCTTCACTTTCTTGTTCTTGGAATGAATTTGGATATGACTTGTGATGACCTCAAGAGCAAGACTATGAAGGATCAACCTGATCAGAAGACAAATGGAGAGAAAGCTAAAGGTACAAGGAGTGGGTGTATGTACATAGGGACAGAACCCCAGGGTTAGCTTAAGCATGTAAATTAACTGAATATATGATTAGAGAACTAAAACACTTGAGAGTAAAGACTTAATAATATTTACTTAAAAAAAAGCAAGTCAAATGCAGGGGAGATGATGATCATAAAGATCATGATGATGAAGAAGAATGAACTAACTTGGTTTGCATGATGATGTAGTAGACAATGATGATAACTTTTATTGAACATTTACTATGTTCTATGCTATTCAGTTTACATGCATTATTTCTCTGAATCTTCACTTTTTGAGATTAAGACTATTATCTTCCTTCTATAGAGGACTAGCTGGGGAGCAGGTTTCACTGAATTACCCATTTTTATGCAGCTAGTAAATGATAGAGCTAGGATTATATCATAATCTCACATTTATCCAGAATCCAATTCATCAGATTGTTCAAAAAATGTTGAATTTACCCAGTGTATACAAGATTATTTTTATAATAATTTTTGAGACATTGCAAAAACTGGGTATATTTTATGAACTATCCAAAGCAGATAAAATAATATTCAGTATAGTTTAACATAATTTTGTTTTATTATATACCATTTTTGAAAAATTATAATTTGATATACACAGTAAGTTAAACTGCTAAAGTAAAAATTAATTTATAATCCCAAATCCACAGACAATCTAGATAGACTGCCTTTTATCTTATATCCATTTTGAAAGGAAGGAATAAAATATAAAAAAGGGAAGTTATACAAATTTGGATAAGACATCCCAGGTTATGTTTCCATCAACAAAATAAAAATTTCTCTCAATAGCAAAATCAAGTGTGAGCATGTAACAATTTAACATTTGAGCTGATTAACTTAATTTGATATGAAAACAGTACTGGCATTTATAGGTAAACCTTTGAGTTAACAATACAGATTTTCTCATTCATTCATTCATTCATTCATTCACTCTTCATGTAGTAAATACTGAGTGGCTGACTGTTAGTACAACTATGAAGTAAATTCTTTTCTTAGAACCTGTTTAGATAGTCACCTACTATACAAAATTTGCTTACTTTCTGATTAGAAAATTGATAGGGTGCTTAGGGGGTTCGATGAATATTCTCTACCTATAAGAGACAGGACAAAGGATGGACTATAGGAAATGGGAACATGTGCCTTCCCTGCACTAGAGTGGATCCTGTGACTTCAAAAACTTCAGGAATTCAAGAATGTTGGATATACTTGATCATCTAGCATGTACCTTTAAGATACTGACCAAAGGCAATGTTGGTTGAAAGACTGACACAGATAGTTGCCCCTGAAGATAGGATTAGGTAATTGCACAAGACAGAGCTATCTTCTACTTCTCCTCTAGTAATTTGCCACAGACACTCTAGGAGCTTAACAATTTTGAATCAGTAAATGAGCCATATTCCTTTCTGTCAAAATTTTTGTTTTGTTCATATGATCTGCAGAGCTTAACAGAAATGCTTTTGACACAGGACAACTATGAATATATTTGGTCATTGATTAATTTAGATCATTACACATTCACACTGGGTATTTTGTGATATAATGTTCCAGGTCATGTAGCTACTGACAATTGAATTAAATACCTATGTCGGGACCTTAATGCCTGTGTGATCTTAGCAAGTCACTAAATCTTTCAGTTTCCTTGTTTACATGTACAAAATAACATTATCAGTGCCTTAGTTGTTTATTTCGCAAGATGAGGAGTCCAAATATATTATGAGATGTTTTCCTGCTGAGCCAAAATATCTGTCCTTTTTTTAAGTGATAGAACACATAATTAGACATATACACATGTGAGTTACATACTTTATTTGCTTCTAAATTAATGGTGAATTTTTTTCTTATAACAATAGGGCTACAACTGTTGTAAGTATAGAACATAATATTAATATGAGTCAAGTGAGTATTAAGGTTTCATTTCTAGTTTTCTTTGCTCAATAATCTCTGTTCAATGTGTAATTTTAATGGAATAAAAGCTGAATAGCACAAAATTATCTTATAATTCTTTGAGATGTAATTCTTTGAGTTAATTAACTGACTAAAGTTTATTTGCTTGACACCACAAATTCATTCGTGGTATGTTATTTATAATACATACTTTGTGTGCTTGTATGTGTGTGTGTGTGTCTACATGCATAGACTTGGTCTATATCAAAAACATCAGGTTTTGTGTCCTGTGGGGAAAGCTGATCCAGTGAAGAGGGACTGAGAGTTTCTGGAAGAGTCATTGTCCTGGGAGTAGACAAAGTATTTGTATAAGTTTTAGAATTTGATACTTAGAGTCAAATATCTGGTAGTGAATTCTGGATCTTTAGTTGTGTCAGTTGTGTGACAATGAGTAAATTACTTAATTTCTTTAATTGTCCAGATTTTTCACATGTAATTATGGATAATGAATTATTTGCAGAGTCCTTGGAAGGACTAGAAGTGAGTAGTGCAAAGTACCAGGTTCAGACAAAATCCAAAGAATCCCTTGATTACTTGCCTTTGTCTTTTTTGTCTTTCTGATTTTATCCTCTATTATTATAGGTCATCATTTTCTTTCTTCCCGGTGGTGGTGCCCTGTGTCTGTGATTCTAGGGATCCTTTGTCTGGGTTTACTGGTGACCATCATTATGCTGATAATGCAGTGTAAGTGCTGACATGGGGAACTGATAGAGGAAAAAATGAGAATTTATAAACATCGTTTGTAAATATGTTTCGGAATACCCACAAACAATCTTGATTTAGATATATGTTAGGCAAACTGTTTTTAGACTGAGTGGGAGGATGAATGGGTATATTGTGCTATTCTCTCATATTGATTGAGGCATGGAATGAAGATTATGAATCATAGGTTTTTATTGCAATTAGTTTTCATAACTTCATTAGACAGAACCTACATAAATCCAAAAATAATGAGGAAGAAACTAATTTGATGTTAATTATCCACAAGATCATCTGGGAGGACCGAAAGTAAAAGGTACCTCATTTAGCTCAGGCTGAGTTTGAATAGAGATGATTAAATACCAATTTAAAGTTAAGAACAAGAAACAAAGGTTTAATAAATAAAACCTTTAAAACAAAACATACTTTAAATTTATGGTATGAGCATACAGAGAAGAGGTTGTTCAGAGGAAAGGAAGTGAAAAAAGGATGAGAGTGGCCAAGAAGGAAAGAAAATGATGCCATTTATCCATCTAATCCACCTGTGTGTTTTTGGTTGTAGATCTAAGTAATTTTGGCTATCTAGACCCAGGTTATCAAGGCCTTTAAAGTGTTATTTGTTTTTCAATTGTTGTTTAAGGTCACAGTCATTTATTTTTTCAATTGATAAACACTAAGTTCTTCCCTAATGATAGGGGGAAGAGCTCTTGACTAGTGATGGTGGTTGAAAGAGTCCTTCTCTGAGGTTCTGATCACTTTACAACAAGGTTAAATCTGGCCTTCCAGGCAAGAATACTGCTTTGTACTGAACTATCAAGCTTCTAAAACTGAGATACCTGACCCTGAATATTTGTCACCTGCTTGATTCTGCAAACTTTATTTAATCTTCATCTCCATCTTTCCTAAGATGGGCTGTAGCGCAAAAAAAAAAAAAAAAAAAAAAAAGTTTGAGACTCTTGTGACATAGCCACTTAAATTCTGTGGGAGGGTGTCTCAAAAATGGGGTATCATAATTCTTAGAATCAGGTAGTCTGAAAGGGTAGAAAGGTCAGAGGAATGAAGACACAAATACAGTAAATCTTTAATGACATTCTTACTAATAGTCACTGAGTCTGGTTGGTGACTGGCTATTCTTAGATTGTCTGTATATATTTTTTTGCCACTGACACTTATCTTGGGTTTTATTTGAACTTGTGTGTAACTCTCAATAACAAATAAAACCTTGGAAGTGATTTCTTTAAATTCCAGTATCTGTGAAAGTTCCTGATCTTAAAAAAAATATTGCAGGGATATCAAATAACTTTCAATCTCTAATTTTTTAGTAAATTTGAGTCATTTTCCAGCAATTGATCTGTTGTCAAAACAGATTATTTGATTCAGTTTTCTGATTTCTTCAATATTCAGTGGATATTTTTATTGGGGATTAGAAATAAAGTTTTAATTCAGCTGTAATTTAGTATCCCAGGTGTCCAATCTTCTAAAGGAACAGCAAGCAAACCTTACTCACCAGGAAAAGAAACTGGAGGGACATTTTTTAGCCCAGAAACAGGAGGAAAAAGCTTGCCATGAATTACAGACGGAACTCAAGGAAATGATTGAAACGCTTGCTCAGGAACTGGAAGAGAAATCCAAAAAACAAATGGAACTTCATCAGCAGAACCTGAATCTCCAAGAAGTTCTGAAGAAAGCAGCAAATTTTTCAGGTATGGGTGAGGGATGCGTAAGGAGGGATATTGGAAGCTAATCTTTTAACTCTTTTTTTGAAAAGCCTCTGGGCACAAAATTGGCATATTGATATATGTATCATTATTTACATAATGTTATAACATCATTTCATAATGTTCTATACCAGAAGTTCTCTATGTCTGTTATCCTCACTCTATCCTACATTGAATTCTTAAAATACCTGATTTAATTAAGCACACTTTTGGTAGATTTAAATTTTCCATCCCCATAAGAGTTTTCTTTCTTTTTAAAATTCTAGTTTTGAGAATTTTCTGGAAGAATGCTTCTACCCTCACTGCTCGCCACTGATTCTCATCTCTTTCCATTCCAATGTATCCTTAATCATTGATTTCTTCTCCTAAAGAGTCTCCTCTGTCACTGGAACTCCTACCTCTATTTTAGCTTTATTCTATGACACTCTCTTAAAGTTTACGACCTCAATTTATTTTTTCTTTTTTTAAAATATTTTATTTATTTATTTTTAGAGACTGAGGAAGGGAGGGAGGGAGAGAGGGAGAGAAACATTGTGTGAGAAGAACATCGATCAGTTGTTTCTTGCACACCCCCAACTGGGGACCTGACCCCAATAAAAGGTCAGGCATGTGCTTTGACCAGGAATCAAACTTCAGGCTTTTCAGTTCACAGGCTGGTGCTCAACCTACTGAGCCATACCAGCCATGGCTGTACTATAGCAATTTAAACTGAGTCAATGAAGATAGGCTGGCTTGGAAGTGGTAGGCAGCTACTTCAAATAAGACAAAAGTATGTGGGACACAGGTAGTCAGTTTTTGTGAGAAGAATTGAATTGATCTCAGCTGTGTAACAGACTCAGACTCTAGGAGGCAGGTAGAAATAGTAACACCTATAAGAAGATGATAATGAAAACTCTGGGATTATTATAGAAATTATCTGATTTATTTAGTCTTTCTGCAAATTGTAATTGTCATGCATATGATTTCAGTCATAAAGAGAGTTAGAGGGTTTCAGATGAAGTATATTGCTTCCTTGAAGGCATATGGAGCGCTATGCTAAGCATTAATAACTAAGTACCACTAATAAACAGGCGTTATCTCCAGTTTCTTGCTTGTACGCTCAGGGAATCTCAATCATGTCATTTCTTTGGATAAATATGGTGTAATAAGAGTTCACAGATAACCATAGCTTTCTTTATTTTATATACAAAAACTGAAACCCAGATAAGTTAAATGATAATAATAATGATCAGTTGTTTTATATAAAGTTTTGCAGTTTATAATCCCTTTAACATTTACAAGGTTAGTTAAACTTCCAAAATAAGCAGAAATTTATAGACAAACTAATCTTTAACTAGTGTCAAACATGTATTTAATCTCATTAAGGAGGAAGCTATTGGGGAAATAAAAGAATACTCCATTTCAAAGAAGGCTTAAAGGAAAAAGTTAGTATGTCAAGGATACAAATGTTTATATAGGCAGATACAGCTACATGCCAACCAAAGGTTTATTTCACAGGTGGAGCTGTAAAAACATTTTTTGTTTATCAGTTGCATGGAATTAAATTTATATCAGGACCATGCAGAACCATCTCCCTAAGATTCCAGGCATGGATAACTAATTAAAAATAACAAGTAATATGTCTTTCACTGGCGGATAAACTAGGTGATGTGCTCCATTCCTTGACAGTGTCAGGTAAAGGCTAGTTGTAATAGCAAATACAGTACTGCCTTTTTATCAAGCAGTTTCTCAAAAAACATTAATAATAAAATTCCATATGGAAATAAGTGTCAGTTTTCTCAAGTTTAAGACAAATTTTGTCTTTCTTACTAAAAAGTCTGTGGTCCTTTGTGTATATATGAAGAGGGAGGAACTCTGAGAAATTACCACATGTGGTTTGCTTGAGGTCATCCAACTAGAAAGATTCAGGGTCTTCACAGTAATAAACTTCACGTTTGGCCCCAGAATTAATGGTGGTTCTCAACCTTTAGTGTACAAAATTATCACCCAAGTAGTTTCTTAAAAATGGGGGGTTTACCCCAAGATTATATATCAATTGCCATGAGGGACACTAAAGAATATTCCCTCAGTTAACTCCAACTCCGAAGTTTGACTAGTGGTGTGATATGGGGATCAAACACAGAGATGCTCAAGTTTAGATTGCCTAGCTTCCCATTCCCATTTTCTCTGTCAAATGAAGAAAATGAATGGTACCTATGCCACAGTGCTGTTATGAGGATTAGATGAGCTAATACACATAAAGTATTGCCAACAATTATTGTGTTTGTTAAATAAAAATCATAATTAAATAATAATTACATACGTAATAATTAAAATAAATACAGATTACTTGAATACCACATTTTGAGACATGTCTTTCTCGCTTTGTCATAGCTTGACAAACCTGCTTAGACTGCCTTTTAGTCCACAAAACCCAAATACATGGGTGGGCTAAAAGAAGGTTAATAATAATAATAATAAATAATACAACAATTAATAAATAATAATACAAGAGTAAACTCTGTGTTTTGTGTACTCAAACTGTAAACTTCTTTTTTCCACCCCTGTATATTCTTTCCTTTTACATGAAATGATGGGACTAGGCAAATTGAAAAATGCAATAAAAACTTGCTTTTGTTGCTTTCATCCTGGCCTTTTTATGCCCTTTTTCATTCACTTTCTTCTTCTATAGTTCAGTGCCCTGCTACTTTCTCCTCTCTGATAAAGTCTACTCTTATAAAATTATCTAATGCTTTTGTGCCACAATGATAATACAAATTAAGAAGTTGCCTTTCTCAAGGATTTTGTTTGGTTTTGTTTTTTACATTTTTGGTCATAGCATAGGCCAAAATGTTTCTTATTCGAGAGATTCCAAGCGCTACTAACACAGAGAAGAGATGATGATGATGAAGAAGATGATGATGATGATCAATAGGGAAGAGGAGGAGGAGAAGGAAGATTTGGCGAGTCCTTTAAAATATCCATAAACACATAGACATTTTTGTTTATTTTTCATATTTTTTTATTGCTTAGGCCTCATTTGGGTTTTTTGGACTCTGTGAGGATTTTGCAACTGAAATCTCCTTATTTTCTGAAATCCTACTGAGATTAAGATGCTCACTTTTATCAATATACTGTTCTCCTTAGAATGTCTCTATTCAAAAGAAATAAAGTGTGTGCCATGTGTGCATCATTAAATATCCTAGTAACCACACTTAAAAATTAGAAAGAGATGAAATTAATTTTAGTAATGTTTTATTTAACCCAATATATTTGAAATACTTTTTCAGCACTAATCAGTATAAAAAGTATTAATGGGATATTTTTTTTTCATATTAAGTTTTCAAAATCATGTATGTGTTTTATACTTACAGCACATCTTAATGCAGACTAGCCACAACTCTAGCACTCAAGAGCCACATATGAGCTACTACACACAGAGCATGTGTCTTAAATTAGAAGGCATGATATTTAAGCCTAAATTCATTTTTCAAGGACATGAAGTTTGACAATACACAAGCACACTTTCTTAAATAGCCAAATGGCTTTTAAGTTCTTATTTTCCCAACTTTCACTGCCATTTTACCAAACATAACTTTTAAAAAAAATAGATCAAATTCTACCATTACATCCCCACCCAAGCCTTGCTTTTAATAGACTTGTTTTCTAGTTTAGGTTAATAAAATTAGAATGCTTTTTCTTTTACTCCCCCCCCAAAAAATGGAGCAACGAAGACTCTGGGGCTATTGAGGTACTTGTAGAATCTAGGTATAAATCTAATGAAGAAGAGGTGGTATGCATGTGAGAACCCTGAGGGGAGACTTGATTTAAGAATTATAGTATAACCCTCCGGTTCCCTTTCCCGTCGGATCTGAACACCAGCCTTGGTGGTCGTAAAAGGAGGAAAAGTAAAACTGAAGCTGGCCTCACAGCTCTGTAGCACGGGGGCTAGTTTCAAACAAAGTTAAAAAATAAATAAATAAATAAATAAATAAATAAAAATAAAAGAATTATAGAAATATTTTTATTCAGGCATAACTCACTGATTAGGTATTTCATACTTCTTAGGTCCTTGTCCCCAAGACTGGCTCTGGCATGAAGAAAACTGTTACCTATTTTCCTCTGCCTCATTTAATTGGGAAAAAAGCCAGGAGAACTGCTTGTCTTTGGATGCCCAGATGCTGATAATTAATAGCACACAAGATCTGGTGAGTTTTTATGGTTGTGCGTTGGGCTGCTGTATTGGCTTAGAGGGAAATAAATCAGGTTTTGGCCCTGAGTGGAAAAATTTTGTTTGAGAGTCAGAATATCTGTTTAATAGCCTAGCCCAGCCACAAATTCCATACATGACCTTTGATGGGCAGGTTATGGAGTATCTCTACGCTTCAGTAGACATTTCTGTGAAGCCAATGAAAGGATGTTGAAGATTTCTTTTGGTTCTTTAGTTTTGTGAACCTGCAACACAACCATACTGACTCCATCATCAACTCAGAAATGTTGTTCCCCACAGGAATTTATCAAGCAAGCTAGTGCCCATTCCAATTTCCCATTCTGGACGGGGTTGTCTCGGAGGAAACCAAGCTACTCATGGCTCTGGGAGGATGGTTCTCCTTTGATGCCTCATGTGTAAGTTTCCTATTCTTTGTTGAACCTACTATTGAAGTTGCTGCAGCATTCCACACAATGTGCTCTTGCCAGAGAGAAGCTTGGGGAATTTCTGAGAGTCTCCTTTCCCAACCCTCTCACACAGGGACCTGGCCTTTTCTGGAGCTTTCCACAGTTACTACCAATTTGAAACTTTGAGACAAGGCTAAATTCCTGACACCAGGTGGCAGTAATGTACTTTTCTTTTCCTTCTTTTTTCTTCCCCTGACCTACAGGCTTAGAATCCAGGGAGCTGTTTCCCAGAAGTTTCCTTCAGACACTTGTGCCTATATACAAAGGGGAACTGTTTTTGCTGACAACTGCATTTTAATTGCATACAATATATGTCAGAAGAAGGCGACTCTGTTGAGAGCACAGTGAATTTGAAGGCTCTGGAAGAAACAGAGGCACAGATCTCTGAACTCTCTGGATTTTAAGCTTTTCTTCCTCACCTAGTGCAAACCATGAGATCCCGGAGAACAGGCGTTAGGTGACTGTAGAGCTCCTTAGGAGAAAGTGGGGCTGCAGCTGCCTGACACCTTTATATCAAAAGTTTTGACTCTCTCTGTGTCTACATTTTTTTTTTTTTTATTTACTTAGGCTGTCTAAAGCCAGCCAGACTTTGGTGTCTCTTCCCTTGTTTATTTTGAAGTTTTGCTCCTCTCCAAGCCTTGGAAACTCTTCCTACCTCAGTGCCATCTTCCCCTCACCCTTCTAAAACTGCATAGAACTGCAGTTTTGCCCAATTGCAACAGAGGGCAAAAAAAAGGAAGCATACTTGGAAAACAGAACATGTGAAGAAGCAGAAAAGAGGAAAGACCATACTGCAATCAAGGAACTCACATTCTTAACATTACAAGCTACCACTTGCTTGGTCTTTGAAATTGTGGTCTCTCACCAGGCTTTACACACACACACACACACACACACACACACACACACACACACACCCCACCCCCTCCCCCAACCCCGCAGATATCCTCACATTTTGGTGCCTTTGGAATGTCCCAGGAAATAATTAGAAATTGGGTAGTCTTTTCTGTGAACTAGTTAACAACTAAGTATCAATTCCTGAATCAGTTATTTCTTCATCTTTTCTCTACTAAAGGGCAGCTTACTGATTTTGATTCTTCCAAAGAGTATTAGATTCATGGAGTGGGTGCCCCAGAGGGAAAAATAGTTAATTTTTCCCCCTAAAGTACATAACCTTTGTAGATAAACTCTTCTCAGTCTGTTTCACTGTGCTATAGGGCAGAAACTTACAGGCCCAGAAAATAATGACATTCAATTCTGGAACAAACTGAGTCAGGTATGGGAATATCATTGCATAGAAATAAATGGAATTAGAAATATTTCTTCTATTTTCAATGCACATATTTAAAGCGCACAATCAATAAGTTTTCACACATGTTCCCTTGAAATCACCACTACAATCAGGATAGTGAGCATATCCTTAATCCCCTAAAATTTCATCATACTCCTCCTCAGTGTCTCCACCCCAGGTAACTACCAATCTGCTTTCAGTTTGAATTTTGTAGTATATTATATGAATGAAATCATACAGTATGCCTTTTGTTTTTTTGTCTAGCTACTTTTACTTAGCATAACTATTTTGAGATTCATCCATCTTGTTTGTATCAATTTTTCATTCCTTTTAAATGTTCAGTATTATTCTGGTGTGTGATTAGAACATAATTTGTTCATCTATTTACCTGTTGATACCATTCAGGTTCTTGAAAAGAACTATTCAAAATAAAGCTGCTATGAACATTTGTATACAAGTGTTTGTATGAAGAGGATTTCTCTTTTCGGAGTAAATATTTAAGAGTATAATGTCTGGATAATGTTTAGCTACTTAAGAAACTGCCACACTGTTTCCCAAAGTCTTATCATTTTACATTCCTACTAGCAGTGTAGGAATGTTCCAGTTCCACTGCATCATTGTCTATGCTTGGTAGATCAGTCTTGTAATTTTAACCATTCTTACAGGTATGCAGTGGTATATCACTGTAGTTTTAATTTGTATTTCCTAAATGAAGAATGATTTTGAGCATCTTCTTTTGTGCTTGTTTATTATCTGTACATTTTCTTGGATAAAGTCACCTACAAATTTCTTGAAAATTTTTATTTCAGTTATTTGTTTTCTTATGTATTGAGTATTGAAAGCTCTTTCTGTTCTAGATAAAAGTCCTTTATCAGTTATTGTTTTGATTTTTTTCAGTTTTTGACTTGTTTTTTGTTTTCTGAACAGTGTTGTCAGAAAAGCAGTTTTAAATTTAATAAAGTCTGTTTTCATGTTTCTATTGTTCTTTCTACAAGTTTGTTGCCTAACTTAAGGTCACAGAAATTTCCTCTTGTTTTCTTCTAGAAATTTTATTTTCTTATTTTTTTTTCTTTAAAGATTTTATTTATTTTTTTAGAGAGAGGGGGCGGGAGGGAGAAAGAAAGGAATAGAAGCATCAATTTGTGGTTCCCTCTTGCATGCCCCCCAACCAGGGACCTAGCTTGCAACTCAGGCATGTGCCCTAACCAAGAACTGAGCCAGTGATCTTTCTGTTCATAGGCCAGTGCTCAACCCACTGAGCCAAACCAGCCAGGGCTTCTTCTAGAAACTTTATAATGACACTCAATTCTGGAACAGTTTCAGGTTTTACATAGAAATCTGTGTCTAACTTTGGGTTAATTTGTGGGTTATGTATCAAAGTTCTTGTTTTGCTTTGTTTTGCTTTGCTTATGGACAGTCAATTATTTTAGCAACATTTGCTGAAAAGGCTATTTGTTTTTCATTACATTGTCTTTGCATTTTGTCAACAATCAGTTATCCATATATGCATGGGTCTTTTTCTGGACTTGGTTCTGTTCCATTGATCTACTTGTATGTTTTTATACTACCATGCTATTTTGAATACTGGAATACTTCAGTTTTATAATATATCTTGAAATAACATAGTGGTAGTCCAACTTTTTCTTTCAAACTTGTTCTGACTTGCCTATGTTTTTGCAATTCTTTGTAAATTTTTGAGTTTCTGAAGGTCTAAAAGAAAGCTTTAGAAATTTTGAATGCATTTGCATTAAATCTACGGACAAATTTGGGGAATATTGAAATCTCAAAAATATTTATTTGTTAAACTCATGAAAAAACATATCTCTCAATTTATTTTAGTGTTCTTTGATTTGCCTAAGCACTGTTTCTAATATTATCTGTACAGATATTTCACATATTTTGCCAGATTATCATTGTATACTTCATATTTCTGATGCTACTATAGATGGTCTTGTTATAATTTGTAACTTTAATTTCTGTTTCTAGCATATAAAATTATAATAGAATTTTAAATATTAACAATGTTCTAAAACTTCATAAACTCACTTATTTCTTCCAATAATATTTTTGTGGATTCCTTGGATTTTCTGCATATGTAATCATGTTGTCTGCTAATAAAAACACTTTTATTTCTTTCTTATTTGGATGCTTTTTATTTTTTTCTTTGCCTGTTTTAATAGACTAGAACCTCCAGTTCAACGTTGAATAAAAGTGGTGAAAGTGTACATCCTTATTTTGTTCTTGACCTTGGGAAGAAATCATTCAATGTTGCACCGCTGAGTATAGTGTTAGCTGTATACTTTTCATAGATGCCCCTTATCAGTTTGAGGAAATTCCCTTTTATTCCTAAGATGCTGAGAAATTTTATCAGGAATGGATGTTGACTTTGTCAAATACTTCTACATCTACTGAGACAATCATTTAGTTTTTCTATTTTTTTTTTAGTGTTTTAATGTGAAGAATTACATTGATTAGTTATAGCAGGTTAAACCAACCTTGGATTCTTGTGAAGTATCAGTATTGTCATTTAAATAAGTGGATTAAATCTGCTAAAATTTGGTTTAGGATTTTTTCAACTATGTTAATAAAGGATGTTTATATACAGGGTGGGGCAAAATAAGTTTACAATTGTGAATATGTAAAACACAAGGTATATTCTTGTATTATTATTTATTATTATTTTCAATATGAACAACTAATTTTCTTTTCTTGTACTGGCTTTGGTTTATTTTTCAGAGAAGTTATTTCTCTCTGTCAGTTTTCTGGATGATTTTATGTAGAATTGGTACTATTTGTTTATTAAATATTTGATACAATTGACTACCGAAGTCTTCTGGGCATGAGTTTTGTTTGTTGTAAGATTTTAAACTACAAATTCAATTTCTTTAATACATGTAGTGTTAGTTAAATGATTCCTTCTTGAGTAAGCTTTAGTGGTTAGTGTCTTTTAAGAAATTTGTACATTTCATGTAAGATGCTTAATTTATTAGTATAACATTTAAAATTTTTTCTTACTATTTTAATATCTCTAAAATCTGTAGTGATGACACTTCTCTCATTCCTGACATTGTTAATTTGTAAAAAAGGATTCTTTTTTTATTCTTGAGAAAGCTCTTTGTTTTTTGGATTACTTTTACTATTACCTTTTTGTTTTCTATTTTATTAATTTCTACTTAATTGTTATTTTTTTCTACTTAGTTATGTTTCTTTTTTAAAGATTTTATTTATTTATTTTTAGAGAGAAGGGGAGGAGAAAGGAAGAGAAACATCAATGTGTGGTTGCCTCTCTCACGCCCCCTACTGGGGACCTGTTCCACAATCCAGGCATGTGCCTTTACAGGGAATCAAACAAGCGACCCTTTGGTTCACAGCCCAGCACTCAATCCACTGAGCCACATCAGCCAAGGCTAATTATATTTCAATTTCATATTCTTTTTATAGTTTTTTTAAAATATGGAAGCTGAGTTCATTGTTCGTAGGTCATTCTACCTTTCAAAGACAGCTGTGTAGTATAATTCCCTTGAAATACTGCTTTAGTGGTAAGCAACAGACTTAGTAATATGTTGTTTTTTCATATTCACTTAATTAAAATACTTTCTAATTTTTCTTTTTAATTTCTTCTTTGATCCATTGGCTATTTGAAAGTGTGTTATTCAGTTTCCATATATTTGGGGATTTTTTTCAGAGATCGTTATATAATCAGTTTACAATTTATTTCCATTATAAATAGAAAACATTTTTTATGACTGGAATCTTTCAATTTATTGAGCTTGTTGGTAAATTTTCTATGTTCACTTAAAGAGAGCTAAGTTATTCTGCTGTTGCTGAGGAGAGTATTCTAAAAACATACAACAGATGAAGGTAGCTGATAATTTGGTATAAGTCTATTATATACTCACTGATTTTTTGTCTATTATTCTATGAATTATTGAAAGAAGAGTATCTAAACCTCTAACTATAATTATAATTTTATCTATTTTTCTTGAAGTTTTGTCAGTTTTGCTTTGCTTATTTTGAAGCTTTGATAACAGAGACATAAATATTATGGATTATTAGTCCTTCTTGATAACTTATGCCTTATATCATTATGAAATGAATGTCTATATCTCCAATTTGCTCTGAAATGTATTTGAGTGAAATTAATATAGGCACTGCTGCTTTTCTCTGATTAATGTTAACATGGTATATC